TGTAATTATATTAACTACCAAAGCTAAATTCAATATAATACATTTATAATTATTTGTGTATATCTTAATAAAAAAATTTAATATGTTTAATCTTATCAGAAAACTCTGCAACTCCGTGGAATTTTGGTAAACCGAATCACACTTGTGGACAATGTGGTGCCATCATGTGGTACGAAGAAAGATCTCGAAAGGGCAGAAAAACATCTAATCCAACGTTTATGAGTTGTTGTTCGGAGGGCCGCGTCAAACTACTATTGCTTCCCCCAACACCACAAACACTTGATTACCTTCTTTCCTTAGAATATGGGAAAAAAGGCGTCAATTTCCGAAAAGAGATAAGAACTTACAATTCAATGTTCGCATTCACTTCGCTTGGATGTCGTGTGGATTCCAAGATTAATTGTGCGAAAGGTCCCTACATCTACATGGTTAGTGGCCAAAATTATCATAGGATTGGTTCTTTGTTACCAGAAATTGGGAAGAAACCTCAATTCGCGCAACTATATATCTACGACACTGAAAATGAGACAAATAACAGAATTGAAGCAATGAGAAGGCAATTTGGAGTGGACGACCTTGATCTTCAAATTACACAGGATCTGTCTACAATGTTAGAAGGAAGCAATGTGTTAGTACATTCATTTCGCATGGCAAGAGACAGATATATGTGTGAACCGAATACTGTTTTTCGATTACGGATCATAAACAGTCGCACAACGGATGGCCGACAATACAATCTACCAAGTGCTAATGAAGTTGCAGGCTTGATTGTTGGTGACCTGAGCGAAAACAATTTCGAGCGTGATGTTATTGTTGAACATCGTACAACTGGACTTCAACGGATTACTGATCTCCATCCGTCTTTTATGTCGATGACATACCCGTTAATACATCCTTATGGTGAAGATGGGTTCAGGAAAAATATATTACTCCAAAACATGGACGGATCTTCTTCAAAGAGACAATTTGTAACAATGAGACAATACTATTGTTTTCGTTTGCAACAACGATCAAACGAGGGCCATACTCTTCTTCGTGCAGGTAGGCTTCTTCAACAATACATTGTCGATGCTTATATGACAATTGAAGAAGGCAGATTTCGGTGGATTCGTAATAATCAAGATCAATTACGAACAGATTTATTTTCTGGGTTGATGGATGCCATAAATCGTGGTGACACAGATGGAAAAAAAATCGGAAAGTCAATAATACTACCCTCATCACATACCGGTAGTCCAAGGTACAGAGCTCAAAATTACCAAGATGCCATGGCAATATGCAAGTGGGCTGGGTACCTGGATATTTTCCTGACATTTACTTGCAACCCCAAATGACCGGAGATAAATGAAATGCTCCACTTAATAGAACAAGAAGATGATCCAAATCGGGTTGACATTGTAAGCAGGGTTTTCGAAATAAAGCTCAAACAATTGATGGCGGACTTAAAAACAGGAAAACCATTCGGAACGGTAATTGCATGTAAGTATCAACTGTTTACTATAAGTTGCCGTTTTGTCTAACATGCAATTAAAATTTCTCATTTGCATGTAATTGTTTCATTATGCATAACAAACAACCATGTCTTTTTTTTATACCCAGGTTTATATACCATTGAGTTTCAAAAGAGAGGTCTTCCCCATGCACACATCTTACTTTTCTTGGAGTCGTCAGGGAAAAACCCATCAACAGATCGTATTGACAGAATCATCACAGCCGAGATTCCAAATCAAAGTATCGATCCAGATGGGTTTAACGCAGTAACCAAATTCATGATTCATGGGCCATGCGGAGATCTCTATCCATCATCCCCGTGTATGTTACAGAGCAAATGCTCTAAGCATTTTCCCAAAAAATTTGTCCCGCACACAATAATTGATCAAGATGGATTTCCAATATACAGAAGAAGAGATACAGGAGCTTTTGTGGAGAAGAAAACACATAAGTTGGACAATCGATATGTCGTACCTCATAACAGAGATCTGATTGTTAAATTCGATGSTCATATCAATGTTGAGCTTTGTAATCATTCAAGAGCCGTGAAGTACCTATTCAAGTACATACATAAGGGTTCTGATAGAGCTACTGCTACAGTTTATTCAACAAACTCGAATGATGACCATGATGAAATAAAGACATATTTAGATTGCAGATACATTTCGGCTGCTGAAGCATGTTGGCGTATTTTCCAGTATGATATTCATTTCAGATATCCAGCAGTGGAGCGGTTACCTTTCCATCTTCCAGATGAACAACCAGTTGTTTTTAACGAAAATGATAACCCAGAGTCGGTAGTGGTCAAGCCTGGAGTAAGTAGAACAAAGTTCACAGAATGGCTCGAATCCAACAAAAGAAATCCGGATGCCAGAGAACTTAGTTACTCAGCATTCCCAAAACACTGGGTCTGGAATGCAAGAGATAAAGCATGGAGAAGACGTAAAAAGGGCATATCAATTGGCAGAATATACTTCACTCATCCGTCATCCGGAGAAAGGTTTTACATGCGCATGCTTTTAAACTTTGTAAAAGGGTGCACTTCGTACGAACATATTCGAACAGTGAATGGCATCACATATCCTTCTTTCAAGGGAGCTTGCTATACTCTTGGATTGTTAGATGATGATGATGAATGGGTTGATTGCTTAACAGAGGAAGCAAATTGGGCAACTGGTAACGAGTTGCGACATTTGTTTGTCACAATTCTTGCAAATTGCCAAGTCTCAAATGCACCAAATCTTTGGAAAAGAAATTACGCAACATTGTCCGAAGATATAGCAACACTACAACGTAAAAAAAATACAAAGCACACGGCATGCAACTGACGGATGATCAAATTGAAGCTCACACATTGTTCGAGATCGAGGCAATCATGTTGAAAATGGGAAAAAGTTTAAAAGACATAGATGGAATGCCACTCCCAAATACCGAACTTTTACGAGAATTTTGTAACAGATTGGTCAATGAAGAGCTTGACTATTGTACCCATGATTTGAAGGTTGCTCATGACATCGCATTTTCCAGTCTTAATACTTGCCAGAGAAGAGCTTATGATGCCATTCTTGCGTCAGTGTACAATGATCGAGGTGACTTGATTTTCATTCACGGTCGTGGAGGAACGGAGAAAACTTTTCTTTGGAATACAGTCGTATCAAGACTTAGATCAGAAGGAAAAATAGTATTACCGGTTGCTACTTCAGGCATTGCACTTTGTTACTACCAAATGGAAGAACGACTCATTCAAGATTCCGAATCCCATTGGATTTAATTGCAGAGTCAACTTGCGAAATTCGTCACGGCACACATATAGCTGAGTTACTTCAACAAACGACATTGATTATTTGGGATGAAGCCCCTATGGCACATAAACACTCCTTTGAAGCATTGGATAAAAGTTTGCGTGACATAATGAGTTGTCGTTATGAAAATAGTAAAGACAAACCATTTGGTGGACTCACAGTTGCTTGTGGTGGTGACTTTCGGCAAATTCTGCCRGTAATACCAAGGGGAAATCGAGCCGACATTGTGAATKCMRCACTAAATTCATCTTATWTGTGGCCTTTGTTCAAAGTATACGAGCTCAATGAGAATATGCGTTTGCAATGCAACACTTTGTCACCGACAGATATGATAAATATTAAGGTGTTTGACTCATGGATGCTACAAATCGGAAATGGCACTGCCTACGATGATGTAACAAATGAATTGCTAAAGTTACCCGCTGGCATCTTCCCAGAAACAATTGGCAACCCGATTGAATCAGTGGTTGAAATGATATATCCTTCTATCTTGGAAAACTGTAATTGTCCTTCATATATAACTGAAAGGGCAATTCTCATGCCAAAAAATGATATGGTCCATGAATTGAACACATTTATCATGGACATGCTTCCAGGAGAAGGAAAAACATATCTAAGTTCAGACACAGTTTGCAAAGGAAGTGTACAAACAAATGAGGAAGACCTCCTTTATCCAACTGAATTCTTGAACGGTTTGCAATTCAATGGCGTACCAAATCACGAGATTCAGCTAAAGGTAGGAGCCCCGGTTATGTTATTACGCAACATCAATCAAACAGAAGGATTGTGCAATGGAACACGATTGATTGTCACATTACTTGGAACATGGTCTGTTAGAGGTGACATTATTTCAGGAACTAATAAAGGAAAAAGTGTCACTATTCCAAGAATAATAATGTCGCCCAACGAATCAAAATGGCCATTCAAGCTAAATCGACGTCAAATACCGTTGGTCGCATGCTTTGCTATGACAATTAATAAAAGCCAGGGACAATCTTTAAGTCGTGTTGGCCTATACCTCCCGAAACAGGTACACTCCTCAATTTTTTTTATTAGCATATTTAAATATGTACTTATATTCACATATAATTGCATAATATTCCAATTGATAGGTTTTCACATATGGACAACTATATGTAGCTGTTTCACGAGTGACATCGCATGAAGGATTAACCATAATAAATGCCGATGAAGAAATGGAACACCGTACACTCATAAAAAACATTGTCTACCATGAAGTGTTCAATAACATTCATCCATCCACCGAGTAGATAAGGTAATATTTTACTAAGTTTATATATTCATATTCTCTAAAATCCAACTTCTATTATTTCTTCTCATATTTATTATTATGATTCTCTCTAACGCCTATAATGGTTAATGCAATTCTATTCCATATTGTATACAAGAAAATCTTCATAAAAAGCTTCATCGAGGATTAGAATATATTGAAGATAGAGACGGATGATAAACGATTGAGTAAGCATAGAAGAAGAGGCTTCGACTACTGACCAAGTTGAACCATATGCATAGGGATCTATGTAGGTTATTTTGTTTTATCTTATTTGTTTCTTTATATATTAGAATGATTTTATTTTAGTTATTGTTTTACGGTATGAAAGAAGTTTTTTTTACTTACAGTACCGCGCATCGTGCGGTTCTCATACTAGTTCTATTATAATTATATATATATCAGAGTTATTAGTTGTTATAATCATTAAAATATAAAACTAAATCCTCAAGTCTTAAAAATCACGTACTTCAAATCATCAAACAACTACTTCAAAACTCATCAAAAATTTGAATAATAAATGTCTCAAATCGTCTAAATCTTCAATCAAGTGCGACCGTGTTGGACCTCTCTAACACCAATGTTGCATTCGCCTTGAGTTTCTTTACAATTTAAAAACAAAAGTTAAACAATTTATTAAGGATATACTAGAATGGTACTCGCGCAATGCGCGAGATACATCTTTCTTTTAATATTTAGTTTTATTTTTTGTCTGTTGATATAATATGGTTTATGTGGCTTTAAGAAAGATAATGTTTCTACTTTTGAATAAAAATAAATTTGAAAAAATATATTGATATTAATATCAAATTAATTATTTAAAAGTT